GTAACAAAGGGAGGGGGGCAGCCAGGGACCTACTCTTCTGTGCGCTCTTGATGCCCGCGGGGGGCTGTCCCAGAACCCAGGGCTGGTTCAACCCAGATGCACCTCGGGGGAAGTCCCACCCGTGGCAGCCCCCCACTGCCCCTTGTAGGCTGTACTTCACGAGGAGCTGAAGAATCAGTGCCGCTGATGGCACACGTCCAGTCTGTTTCCATGGGAAGCAAGAGCCGTGCGCCCGAACAAACCACAATTAAGAGGAAGATGCAACCGCGGTAAGTTCTATATGCTATTTTTGGATGCAAAGACACACATGCTGCTCTTCTTTTGGGGCCCTTTTCAGCACAGGGGCCAGGCTTTTCCACACAAAAGGTGGTGCCGTTTCTTACTAATTCATTACCTTTTTAGCCTCTAGAAAAGGAACTTTTCTGTTCCACGCAGCATATCTGCTCTAGTTCTACGGTTACCTCTGCGGAGATTTGCAGATTTCTTCATACTACCCAAGATTATTCTTTGGACTTGCTAACACAGCTAACAAACTTTTCTTTAGCAATATTCTCTGCCTGCAACGGGAGTGTACATTTACACTAAAATTGCAGACGTGGCCAGCGAGTGGTTTACAGTTGGATTTGTGAGAAGGGGGAACCTGTGCTCTCCTGAGACAACCTAACCGGATGGTCCAATCCCCCCCCCACTTGCCCCCCGCCCCCTGATTCTTCAGGCCAGCCCACCAGCAGTCCACACTTGATCTTTCTCTGTTTTTGATCTCTCTGCACTGCTTTTATACTGTTGATATGGTCAGAGGGCTAAATCGATAAGTTTCTCTTCTGTTCTGCCCAGCAAACCAGTTATCGTCATCTCAGCTTTTGAGCAATTCGCTCCCTTCAGAATGATCTGGATCAACGCAACGATAACCTTGAGGTTTTGAAGAAAAACCTCCAGGAAGATTCTCCTCTGCCTCTATCGCTGGGCTCCCTCTGCACTACCCGCATGAGCACAGATCGAGGAGATCCCCAGATCAGCAGCTTACACGATATTTCTAATGCTTTGCTCAGTGGGTTGATCTGAAAAACGGGGGGGACTCGGTTGGTTCTAGCCCACAAACTGCTTGTCAGCAGAGTCTGGAAATGGGAAGGGAGCAGAGTCTTCAAAAAAATGAAAGATTTGCACCCAAGTCATCTTCCCTTTACTTTGGGTGGCAGCTATCAAATGCAATAGTTTTAGAAACGGTCTGCAAGGAACAAACTGGAGGGGTGAAAACATGAGCAGAACTTACCAGCAAGGAGGAAGGAGCACAAAACAGAGAAAATACTTTTGCTAATCATGCCTGGTCATCCAAGAGGGTCCTGGTTCTTTCTGCTACGCCTGTCTCCTGCAGGGTTCGGCCTTTTCTGCCGGGAGCAAACCGAGACTTCCTCCAGGTTCACGCAAGCATCTTACTGCTTGCTCATTGTTCTGTTGAAATTACTGTTCCTGTTTTTTCCTACTTTTTCCTATTTTTTCTTATTGCACTTTTGTTTTCTCTGATCTAATTTAGTTTGTACGAGCTCATATTATGGAGACCTATTTATCTTTTCTTTTGCATTACACAGAAATAGCTTACTAATCACTCAGTGAGCTGAGAAGCACCGTGCGAATCCTCTCCGCGGCTGACCTCCTTCCTTCTCGTGGGAAGGACCCTCCTTGCCCCTTTCGTCTAGCTGCGAAGTAGCGTTTGAGGTGGGCCTCGCTCACTCGCGGCTTTACTTCCTTCCTCCTGTGGCGGAAAGGCCTTTCCCCAGGCAGGCTCAAGAGCGCGATTTGAACTTAGGAGGCTTCAGAGGGTCGCTGTCTGTCGCCCTGGACCCCTTCTTTTCAACCCCCGGAGACTGGTTCACGGTGCTGGGGACCCAACCCGTCATTGGCATCTCCGCGGAGAGAAGAGAATCTCTGGAGCTCAGGGCTGAACTGTGGAGCCCTTGAGTTTGGGTCCTCTGAGCTTGGTGGTTTTCTTGCCGACATTTCGCTACCCGGCTAGGTCACATCTCCCTTCTAGCACTGAAGATG